CTGGGGGTTCAATTCCCAGGCCTGCCATGCCAGCCCCACACCCAGGGCAGCTGAGACATTGACTGAGACTGGGCATAGTGGTGCATGCCTGTAATCCCAGCTCTTGGAAGGCCATAAATAGGCGGATCACTACGAGTCCAATCTAGTAGTGAGACTCTGAACACCCTGTAGACCCTTCCCTGTAGACCCTTCCCTAAAATACAAAAAAAAAACAAAACCCAACCAAACAAACAAACAAAGCTAGCCTGCACTACACAGTGAGATCCCCATCTCAAAACAACAAAGACCCATTCCCCAAGAGCTTGGGAGCTAAGCTTCAGGTGAGAAGAAAACACCACAGCAAGGCAGGAAGCACCCAGGCTGCAGGCCTTAAAGTGTTCACAGTGCTGACAAGTGAAGGACGAGGACCACGGCCCAGCAGCTGAAGAGGCTCTGTGTACTAATTCAGGGCAATGGCAACGCCATGGTGGGTGAGACCCAGCAGGTGGGATACATTTGGTTAGAAGAGCATGAGATTCAGAGACAAAAACATGAGAACTGGGCAACCTGTCAGTCATCTTACAAGCCACGTTCTTACAATGTAAAAGACATTCTGCTTAGTAACAGACCTAGGAGTGATCAGGCAGTCTTGCCTCTAGCTCCATGGATGTCTCCACCTACAGGAAGTGATACCAGCTTTACCGCCAGTACTATTCAACCAGTCCATTTTTGTCTAAAAAAAACCCCTAGAGCACTGAGTGTTCCCTTTCCAAATTTTTTTTTTTTTTTGAAGTTTACACTAGTTAGGGCCAGGGAGGTAGCTCAATGGTATTCACCTACCAAGTTCAAATCCCCAGACCCACAACATAAAGAAACGGGGTCAAGGAGATATCTCAGTAGTCTAAGTGCCTGCCTAGGTTGACCCCAGTTTCAATCCCTGGCACCACATGCCATGCCAGCCACGGAAACCGAGTGTGATGGTACATGCCTATAATCGTAGCACTGGGGAGGCTGAGGCAGGAAGATCACCATGAGTCCAAGTTGTGTAGTGAGACTCTGTACCAAATAAATAAATAAATTTTTTTTAAAAAGAAACAAGCCAAAAACCCATACCATTTAATACACCTGACAATAGGAAGGAAGGAGACAGATCTTTTGTAAGTGGAGAGGTGACCAAGAGATGGAGGGAGGGCCAGGGAAAGGCGTCAGATGGGCACATGGGGCCCTGACTCCCCATGAGGCTGTGACCACCATGGCCGCACACAGTCGATTCGAACAGCGGCATTACAGTTGTTCACAGGCCAGGAGACCCATTCACACTGCAGCACAAGCAAGAGGGTGAGAACCACCCCACTCGCAGGATTTGACTTAATTCTATCAACTAAGAATTAAGTACAATGGGCTCTTCAGGGTGCAACAGCAAATACACAGGAGCTGACACCAAAAGGTCTCTTACTTGTTCAAAGTGACAATACACACCAAGCTCACTCAAAGCTTAACAATTCTGTCTGGGTGGTGAAATAGGGCGTTGCCATTTAATAAAGAATTACACAAAAGAACTTATCAGTAGAGTGAAGAGTTACTAGCAGGAATTATTTACAGGGAAGTATTTTCTTAAAACTAATCAGCAATGTGAAAGAATTTTTAAGAAAATACTCCCCAAACCAGGGATTTTTCACCCAGTAAATAGGCTTTGTTCCTTCCTGGTGGACCAAGAAAAAATTGCAGGGGAATCATTTGGAAATCTAGGTGAACTAGCTTTTTATGTTCAAATGTACTAATTAAAAGGAAGGAAGAAAATAATCACTCTCTTTCGCAGAGGCAAAATGGCTGTCATGTTGGAAAGCTTCTGTTTCTCAGTATAAAGTCAAATTTACGACATTTATGATTATACCATATAACAACTCTCCTGCAGGCTCCTTTGCATTGTTCCTCCAACTCCTCCCCTTCCTTCTGTTAAGCCTTAGCATCTTCCTGAAGGAGAAGTGGGATAAAGCAGCACCCAGGCCTTCTGACTGCCAGTGCTCACTGCCCTCGCAAACACATGCCAGGCCGAAGGGCACCTGGGAAGACTGAGCATGTGGTCAGACACACATAACTGTTTCCCACCAAATCTGTACAAGTTAGTGACTATAAAAATAGAAAATGTGCAGGCTGGCCAAATCGCTCAGTGGATTAAAGCACCAACAAGCAGGCACAGAGGCTGAGGGTTTGATCCCTGGGCCCGCTGTGCTGGCTCCGCCCGCAGGGCATGCTGAGACTGCAGTTGAGACTGGTCATGGTGGCGCGGCCTGTAATCCAGCTCTTGGGAGGCTGTAACAGGTGGATCACTACGAGTGCGATCTAGCAGTAAGACCCTAGAAGATTCTTCTACCATGTAGATTCTTCCCAAAAATACAAAAAATAAAAAGAAAATGTGATTTTACAAAGTCGGCTGTACAACACTCGGGAGGCTACAGGAGGAGGATTGCCCTGAGTTCAAAGCCAGCCTGGGATACATACTAAAGTTCAGGGCCCGCCCGAACAGCATAGTTATTACGGCTTAGGTCTAGTTGAACTTCCAAAGCCTCATGCAGTCATGGGGCAGGGACTTCTAGGGTTTGTGATTAACTCATGATCCGAGGGAATTATGGGTGTGAGTGCTGCTGGGATTATGGGTGTGAGTACTACACTCAACCTGGGGTGGATAGGCTGAATGTGACTTAAGGGAGAGAGACTTGCTCTCTGTTGCCACTGCTGCTGATATTCTCCTATTCCTCCCTTTTGCTCTTGTTGTTTTGCTGCCCTCTGCCATGTGCCAGTCTGCCTTGGAGCCAGCTGAGTATGGACTGAAACCTCCAGTAACTCTGAGCTAAATAAACCTTTCTTTCCTTCTTTTTGAGTGGTGGGTATCTGTCCCAGCAATGAGAGAAGAATAAATGAGACAGAATTTGGTATGAGAGACGTGAGGTTGCTGCTTGGCTAAACCTGACTGTGTAGATTACAAGCTTTTGGGAATGGCTTATGGGAAGACATAGGAAAGGTTCAGAGATGTCGCCTACAAGAGAAGTGCTGGAATAGCTTTGACTGTTCTGTATGGGAGATTCTGGTCAGAACTCAGATCAGAAAGCTGATAGAAATTCTCCCTGTAAAGACCAGGCTGGGGAGGTTTCTTCTGGGAAGAAGGACTGCATTGGTTTTTGGATTCCAATGTATGCTTTGGCTTGGCAGAAAGTTTGTCTGCATTTTGTTCATGTCCAGAGATTTTGCCTGAGACTGAGATTAAGTGCCATGGACTGATTAATCTTTCAAAAGAAATTTCAAAACAGCCAAATTTGAGGCAGTGGCATGGCTATTGCTGGGACCTTTTAGTCAGATTTATGCTGAGAATCAAGAGCAAAGAGCCCAGCACGATGATAATGTTTGCCCTTCTGGATCTTGGATTTGCTTTGATCCCAATGCTTGGTATCCTATTGTATGTACTGTTTGTAATGGTAACTGTGTGTGTGTGCACGCGCGACAGGGAATTGAACTCAGGCCCTCGTGCTTGCCAGGAAGAGCTTATTCTACTGAGCCATCTCCCGGGCCCTGTAATGGTAATGTTTATCTTATGCCATTAAATGTTGGAAGTATTTAACTTTTCATTTGTACAGGAGCTCACAGCTAAGAGTTTGCCTCAGATCTTGGAAGAGATTTGGGAGTTGGACTTTTCAACAATGCTGAAACCGTAGGACTTTGGCAACTCGTAGATGTGGACTAAAATGCCTTTTGCACAAAGGGATGAACATGAGACTTTGGGATTCCAGGGGCGGAATGTTATGCTTTATCTAGTTGTCCCCCAGAAGCCGCATGCAGTCATGGGTTGGGGACTTCTAGGGTTTGTGATTAACTCATGATCCACAGGGATTATGGCTGTGAGTGCTGCTGGGATTATGGGTATGAGTATTACGCCCAGCCTGCGGTATAGTCTGAATGTGATTTAGGGAAACAGACTTGCTCTATATTGCTATTGTTGCTGTTACTCCTCCCTTGTGCTCTTGTTGTTTTGCTGCACTCTGCCGTGTGCCACTCTGCTGTGGAACCAGCTGAGTATGGACTGAAACCTCCAATAACTGTAAGCTAAATAAACCCTCCTTCCTTTATTTTGAGTGTCAGGTATTTATCCCAGCAACGAGAGAAGAGTAATTGAGACTATCATGAGACCCTGACTAAAAATAATAATAATAATATTGGTTATAAAAAATCTATTTCAAATGTCCCCCCTGTCTGGGAACTACTTGGATGAGAAGAAAACAGTTCTTGTTTTGTTTTGGTTTTAGATAAGGTCTTATTATGTAGTTCAAACTGACCCTGAACTTCCTTAAGTAGCCCAGGCTGGCCTCAATCTCCCAGCAATGCTCCTGCCTCAGCCACCCAAGTACTGGGATTACAGGCCTGTGCCAACATAGCCAACTAAGATGAAAGCAGTTTTGAACAATGTCAAGATCTGTTTTCCAGGGGCCCGGGGAGATGGCTCAGTGGATTAAGTGCTTCCCTGGCAAGCGCAAGGGCCTGAGTTCAATCCCTGGTTCTGGGGAAAAAAAAAAAAAGATGTTTTCCATGTGGCCAGTACAAGAGTCTACTGACAGCAAATGCCTCCCACAAATGGCCAAGGACATGGGGATTTTTAAATTCGTTACTTTGAGGGCCAGGGAAGTAGCTCAGCATAGTGGGTACTTGACAGGCATAAGGTCCTGGGTTTGGTCCCCAGCTCTAAAAATCAACCAACCAACAAAAACTAAGTAAATAACTTTTATGAGAGTAGAAAAATTGAAGATATAGTCTTACTGTTCAGAGACCATTGGAAATATATCAATATATATATAAGACATGTTTTGAGAAATGTCTATTTACCTATAATGCATGAATTAAAAACTACAACCAAGTATCAGAAAACATAAGCTTATAATTAAGTTTGTTATGTTGAAACCTCTTGGGGTAAGAAAGAATACAAAAGAGGATAGTCTTAGATGTATTTGAAGAAAATATCAGTGCATACTTACAATATGCAACAGTTTTAACACATCCACAAACCTGTAGGAAACAGCAATGAGAAAAATGTTTGAAATGAGCTGGCGGCTGGGGACACAGGTTTGGGAACCGCGGGGCAGGGACTCACACTTTCTCTGAGCTCATGATCTCCCCGGCGATGTGATGAACTTTGCTTTTCATCCCAGTGCCTTCCTCCTGTGGACAGAGGACATTAAGGAAGCATGAACGAAGCCATGCACGGTGGTGCACACACCACCCCAGCGCTTGGGACGCGGAGGCAGGAGAGTCACAGCATGTTCACAGACAGCATGAACTACATAGTAACTTCATGACTTACTTACCCTGTCTCCAAAAAAAAAAAAAAGCAAAATCTCCTAAGAGGATAGTGAAGCTGGCTATGGCTATGAGAACCTTAGCTCTGATTCTTTTTAAGTTTCCTCATAGCACACAACTCATACTACAGAACATGGCATAGGCAAACCTGGAGGGTCAGATGAGAGATAAACCGTGACGCAGGACTGTGGAGAATAAGAGGTAACGCACAGTCTAGGGCAGCCCCGGGCCCCGCCAGACACAACCTCTGTGCTTCCGAAGGCACATCTGGAAGCTGGGTGTCCAGCCAGGAATGACAGTAAAAGTCTGTAACTTCTGTTTTCTGGGAGCCTGCGACAGGAAGATTGCATTTATAAAAAAGAGAAACTATACACAGCTACCATTCTACCATTCCTCAGGAAGGGGTTTTAAGTACAACTGATCCACAGATCATGTACCAGTCCTGAACTAATAACCATGATTATGCATGAGCAATTGGAAATAGTTATTTTCAAAAAATAATTAGCAGATCCATGCTATTCGAGTACAATGGACTGCTTTCTATCATTTGTATCTAGACAGTTTCATGCTTATAAAATACTACGTCCATTTTAAAATGAGAAATGGACTGCGGGGCTGGAGGTGGAGCACAGGGTGCAGCAGCGTAGCTCAGCGCGCACTCAGCCCTGGGGCTGCTCTCCCGCCAACAAAAGGAAACTCTTGCCCTGGAGCTCCCGCTCTGGGCTCTGGTCGGACCATCACAGGCTCCTCCGGTGACGGCTACTCTACCCTTCTCCCTACTTCTGCCACACACTGGTCTTCCAGGACCTGGCCAGAGGAAATGGTGTGGGGCAGCGACTCAGAAATCTATGTTTTCCCTAGGGAGATTTCCGGGCCCCCCCCTACAAGAGGTGACAAAACACTGGCTAGAGGAAATATTTGCTCATGTGGATTCTTTCTTGTTTTCCTTCACTTTTTAAAAACTGGCTATGCAGATGTATGGGCTTCGCTTTGGCAAATTCGCACCCACACCGAGCACACGTTGCTCTTTCCATGCCTTCATCCCCTGCCGCCGCCCTTCCTCTATTCCACATGTCTGGGGGTTCCAATGTCAGGATGTGCTCATACCTATCACTACTGCCTGCTGTACACTGTGCCTTCCTCTGGTCTAATTGCAGTCTCCCTTCTCCATGGCACCACTGGTGGATTCCACATACCAGGCTTGCCAGGAAGGTCTCCAGGTTGACCCAATTTCTCGCAAGTGACAGAATTTTGTCCTTCCCTGTGGTTGAATAATGCTCCACTGTGTACACAGACCACATTGTCTTGACCCGTTTTTCCAATGAGGGGCGCCCAAGCCGGGCCCATGTCCTACCTACTGTGAACTGTGTGGCAGTATTCACAGTGCAGAGGTCCCTGAAGCACGCTGGCTCCAATTCTTTTCAAGGTCACCACCAAGGAGCAGCACAGCTGCATCACATGGTGGCTCTGTGCTGGGGCTTTTGGAGGACCCCACACAGACTTCTGCAGGTGCTGTACTGATTTACGCTCCCCCAGTAGTGCTGAGGGGTCCTTCCTGCATCCTTATGAGCATTCATTGTTTTGCACCTTCCTTTTCATCTTTTTTTGTTTGAGACAGGGTCTCCCCACATACGGAGCTCAGGCTCCCTCCAACTCACAGCAATCTTCCTATCTCAGAGAGTGAGCATTACAGGTGGGCGCCACCGCGCCCAGCACTGCTGTCTGCGCTCTGATGATAGCAGCCATTCTGCGTGGATGAGAAGGAATCTCAGCACAGCTGATCATCATTCGCCCGTATCAGGATCACGAATACCCACAATATTTAAGGAACTCGGATAACTCCACAGGACTTAGACAATTCAAGTAAAAATGAGAGAAAGAAGCCAGGGTAGTGGCACACACCCGTCAATCCTAGCACTCAGGAGGCTGAGGCATGAGGATGGCCAGGAATCTGAGGTCAGCCTTAGTCTATATAATGTGTTCAAGGCCAGTCTGAACTACACAGTGAGATCCTGCCTCCAAAAAAAAGGAAAGATGTAAGTAGGCAGTTCACCAAACATTATATCGAGATGGCCAAAATAAGCACATGCAAAGTTATTTGACATAATTAGTTACTTCACATCCACAGAATAGCTCTAATACAAAAATCAGAAAATATAGGTCTTGCCAAAGATATACAGAAACTGAAAACGTTATACACTGCTGGGGGGATGGTATTCCTTCTATAATTTCATTTGGAATTCCTGCTCTCTCACAACATACTCAAAGACAGAATTTGCATTTTTGATCCTCCTTGTATTCTGAGATGATTTCCAAGAGGTAGGACCCAGCGCTGTCTCTACCTGTCACTGCAGTCTCTGAAGTGAGGAAATTACGTTCCAACATTGCATAGTGAAGTTACTAAGAGAAAACAGCTCCGCTGCCAACTGACTGGCTGCCTGCCTGCTGACACCATGGATCCTTAGGCCACCAGGCGCGTCCTCAATTTCACAGTCCCTGGCGAATCCTGGAGACTCTAAGCTGGAGTCTGAGATGGAGCCAGGAAGTGGGTGCTACAAGAGGAGATGAAAGAAATAGTCCCAGCCATCCAGAAGTGAATAAAGGAATCACATATGCAAATAACTGCATCGGATAACTCTGCTGCTATCTTAAGGAGAAAAAGATCATAGCTGGCCATATGTGTGAAATTAGAAAAGGCGACAAAAGGAAAGCATGTGATGGTCATGAGGTCAGTCTAAACAACCCAACAAGCCCCTAGACACCTGAGCACCAGGGCTCAGGAGAAACAACACCCCAACCTAGGCATCCCAGCACTCAAGAGGCTGAGTCAGGAGGATCAACATGAGCCCAAGCCAGCCTCGGCTACATAACAGGACCCTGTCTCAAAACAGACCCCCAAGTATGAAGCTCTGATATGCTGACCACTTTGAATGACAGGAAGTTTCAAAGCCCGTGAAGCTACCTGAGACACGCAATCTCTCTGGCCTGCCTGTGCTTAGCCAGGGATGTGGTTCAGTGGTTCAACTCTTGCCAGCATCTTCGAGGTCCTGGTTTCCGACCCTGGCACTGCGAAAAACCTCATACACTTCTCAGCCTGCTTTTCAGAGCCCCCATAGTGCAATGAGGGCTGCTTTGGTACTTTGTTTATTTAACTGAAACATTCTTCAAAAGAAATGCAATTGCCTAGGGTTTCCTTCCTAAACTCTCATTAACCCTCGAAAGCTAACTAGCAGAATATATTAAAAGACCTCCACCTATTATATAAAAGGTATACTTTTATTTTTCTTAAAACAGCAATCTGAACAACATTTATCTGCACAGTAACACAATCTGCTCACAGGGCAATTCTTTTCAGGGGTGTGTGGGAGACAAGGTCTCACCATGTAGCCCCGGCTGGGAGAGATTCATAGTGTTCTTTTTGCCTCAGCCTCCTGGTGCAGGAATTCTAAGCATGCACCACCACACTGGACTCCAAGGACTTCTGCTGCTGTGCTTCAAACTATCCTTGAAGATGGCAAGCAAAGGTTTCCTAGTGAGGGAAGCTGCCTTTAGGCTCTGCCCTGCCGCTCTCCAAAATAGAGGAGTCTGTGCACACAGGACTCACGGACCCTAAGCTGGCAGGCTGTGTTCACTGGCTGGTGCACCTTCACACCCTCTGTAATGCCTTCATCCCCCCACCCCCTGCATCCTCCTGCACACAGCTCAGGATCCACCACTGTGCAGGCAGCTTCTACTCCTAAGTGAGCAGAGTTGCACAGGGTGATGGTCCCCACCACAGAATCAAGGCCCAAGCACATCGCTCTGCACATGTGCTGCATAACAGGAAAATGTAAACATAAACTCAACTAGCGGCTTGAACTACATGGTAAAGCCTGTTCAGATTTCAAAATTCTAAGAACCTATACTTCTCTGTCTATCCTTTTAAACTAGGAAAATTAATAACTAACTAAGGATAATTATTAGAAGATCTATCAATGGATTGAGATAAATTTCACAGTGGACAAAAAGTCAGACACCTAAAAAACAAAACCACCAGTAAGACTAATGATGAAGGTGAGCATTGTAGTGGATTTCTAACTGTGGTCAACTTCTTATACCCAGCTGAATTGAACTAGCATGGTGCTGGGTGTGGAGGCCCACTTGAGGATTGTTGCCAGTAGCATAAAAGGCAGAATGGGAGGAGCTCTTGAGATGCTGTTATGGATGCTGTTTGGAGAAACTGCTGATTTTCTTGCACTGTTAGATTTCCTTGCACAAGGTTACTCATGCAGGTAACCTTTTCGTGTTGGTTTTCCTGATGAATTTGGCTGTTCTTGTCGGAGGAGGAGCTTGGAACCTTGTCACTGAGAACGGCTACAGTTCCTTTTGAGGGAGCTCTGGTCTTCATTTTGAGCATCACTTCCTGGCTCCAGAGGGGAAGATGGTGTACTGTTCAGCCTCGTGGAGAAGCTTGTCACGTTGGTTTTCCTGATGGGAACTCAGCTTTCCTCATTGCTGGAGGAGCCTGGGACCTCACTGTTGCTAAGCATGGCTGTGGTACCTCTGAGGAAGCTCTGGTGCTTACCGTAAGCTTTGCTTCCTGGCTCCAGTTCAGATCTCTCAGCCTGCTAGCACAGATCCTTCATCCTGCTGGCATAGACTTTCTGGCTTCCACCTCTAACCTTTGGGTCTTCCCAGTAAAGGTCTATGAAGCCAGTCTGCATGAGACTTTGTTGGGGGCTCTAGACCTATAGCTGGACTTGTAGGAGGCACTGTTATAAGCTCTAGATTTTTAGTTGGACTCATGCAGGATATTAGGATCTGGGCCCTCAGCTGGATTCTTGTCTTTAGTGTGTGGACAGACTTCCTGCACTTCTTGTATATGATTCTTTGGGTGATTCCTTTCAAACTAATATAAAATGTGTCCTATATTATATTGTTCCCCTTGCAAAACCCCCAAACCACAACAGGCATGGTGGCCTACACTTGAAATCCTAGGACTCAGGAGGCTGAGGCAAGAGAATCAGGAAAAGTTCCAGGCAAGCCTGGGCTACACAGTGAGTCAGAACAGTGCCTGATTCTGACGAAGTCAACCAACACTGGAAAAACATACTTCCCTGTAAGTTCTCAAGAGAGGCTCATTTGGTATCTCAAACTAGTCAGTTAATAAAATCCCCACTTAAATTGTATCACATTTCAAAGGAGACTGCCTGTTAAATCAGCATCTCCCAAAAAGCACACTGCTGGAGAAGTTGAAACATGAGCCATGAATACATGAAGTTATTTGTTAAGGTCATAAAATAAGTCAAACAAATCCCAAAACAGTCCAGCCTTGCAAAACAGAACCTTTGATCTGAAACCCACTTTTATGTTCTGATCCTTCTGACAATAGTCCAGCTCTGCAAACTCCTGTGTTCTTTTCCTGTTCTCACTACAAGTAATGCCCAGTGAAATTTACCTATTCTTATAGCACCATCAAGCACTCTGTTTCATCCTACGCTAGACTTGTAATAAAAAACAAAGAATGTTACCATTCAGACGGACCTAATGAGTATCTCCTTATTTTGAGTAAGTTACCCCAAATATGAAGCAAAGCATGATTAACACCTAGGAGACAATGTTCTCTTCAGTTTTTCACTCAACTATTTAAGAGGGAATAGGAGACAAGCTATTTTACAAAGAAGACTTGAAAGCCAGGCATGGACAAGCATGCCCGTAGTCTCAGGAAGCTGAGACAGAAGAATCAGCTCACAGTTGAGGCCAGCCTGGGCTATGTAAGGATTTCAACGCTAGCCTGAGCTACACAGTGAGGTAGTTCAGATAGGGTGAGACCCTACCTAAACTTTTTTTAAAATTTAATTAAATGTAAAAATAAAGATTTGAAAAAGAACAAAGAAGCAAATATACAAGGAAGGTACATAAGGTGAATAGTCTAACACAAAAGACAGACTAGGATACACTTCGTTGTTATTATTATTAGTGGTTTTTTGAGAAAGTCTTACTGTGAAGTTCAGGTTAGCTTTGAACTCACCTTGTAGCCCACACTGGCCTCAAACTAATGGCAATCCCGCCTCAGGCTGGGTTTACAGGCATGTGCCACCATTCTTGGAGCTACTACACTTCATTTTTAGAGTACAGATTTATTAAACATGGCAACAATGAAAAATATGTACCTAAAACATTTTTGAAAGGGGACAATAGGGTTAGCATGGCTCACGGCCCCACCAACATATTCCACAGCCACTGTTTGGCCCCAGTGAATGACGCTCCCATTTGTTAGAAGATGGCTCCAAGGCATGTCACCTGACCTGTGTAGAGCCGCTTTCTTCCCGTGCAACGAGACTGTACCAAGTCAGGTCCTGTCCTGGCTACTTCCCACAGCTAAGTGTGACACCCATGCCCTCAGCACAGAGACAGGCATGAGCACATAGAAGGTGCAGGTGAACAACTCCTTCATGATGCCATGTTTACCTGAAGAGGTAAGCTTTTATTTTATTTTTTTTTCAAAATTTTATTGATAGGGGCTGGTGAGATGGCTCAGTGGTCTAAAGCACCTATTAAGAACAAGCTTAGCAAAGCACAGGGACCGCAGTTCAATCCCCCAGCACCACATGCCAGCGAGCCCAGCCCCCTGGTGGGCTGAACTGGCCACACACACACAAAATAAATAAATAAACAAATAAAAATTAAAAAAAATAAAAAAAAATAAATAAATATTAAAAAAAAAAACAAAATTTTATTGATAAACAAATAGCAATGAGACAGTTTCAAATTAAACTGGAAGTACAGTATCAACAAATAACCCACTGCATATATTCTTCTTAGTGAGGTAAGCTTTTAGACTCCTGTTTGCTTTCCCGCAGCAGAGCGAGCATGAAATAACAGACAGCTACTGCTTTTTCTGAATCACAGGGATGTTTCAGGTCCCGCCTAAGGCCTCACAGGACCATCTAAGTTCATGGGACATGACAGCACCATGCCCTCCCAGACATCCTGGTCCAGGAGCAGGCTGTGTGACTTCAGGTTCAAACAGATTCACTGTATGTGAAGTCACACTGGCCTCACATCTGACTGGTGTCCTTAGAAGAGACTCAGATGCTGACAGGAACGAGCACAGCGCCTCACAACCAGGAAACAGGCCGCCGAGGGCCTGGCAGCCACACTGCAGAGGTGGTGAGCCAAAAGAGCAAGGAAACAGTCTTCCTGCAGATTCTGGGGTGCAAGGCCTGCTGCCAGCTTCACTACTAACCTCTGCCCTGCAGCACCGGGAAGTGACACATTTCTGACGTTTAAGCTATCTAGTTTGTGGACCTGTTTCACTGGCTGACTTCTGTGCTGAAGTTGGAATCCAGGGTCTGTGAGCCCTGGCAGAGCTGGCTACCCGTGCGTGCACTGTCTTGATCACAGCCATGCTAGTTAGCAGTGGGAAGAGGGATATCGTGGGGGTTGGACAGAGCTCTCTCAATAGCCAACAATGCTGAAAGGACCCTTTCCCAGCTTAAGAGCAGCCATCTGGATGTCCCTGCCTGCTCAATCTGTTTCATATAAACAACACCTAACAGTAGAACCCTATCCAGCACTCACTTGGTGTCAGGGACTCTTCTAAGCTGTGTATAATCATTCATCATCACAAGAATCTTGGAACACAAGGAAGTGTGTTCCCTCCGCTCCTTACAGACAGGGAAGCTATGGAAAAGAGAAATGAAGCTACTTGCGATCACAGAGCTAGACATGGTGGCCACACGGAGCAGTCTGACTCTAAAGACTATGTTCTGGCCACTGTGAAAGCAAACTACTTAAGCAAACTGCATTCGTCGAGGGTGTTCAGCTGGGTCAGGGATGTCCTAGAAGGGGACAGGTGTGTTCTGTGTTGCCATGCTCATCCCTGGTGGGGAGAGTGGGAGAAGTTCAGCAGAGCACGGAGAATCCTGAAGAGGGGAATCTTTCTTAGCACCAGCACCAGGCTGAACCTGGGGCAGGTCTGCTCTTAAAAGAAACCTCGTTTTTAAAAAGAGATTTAACAGGCTTATCACTATGTAGCACAAGTAAGAATGTAGCTGGAGATACAGCTCAGTGGCATAAGCACCTGCCTGACACGCGCAAGGTCCTGAGTTTGATCCCCAGTACCACAAAAAAAAGGTCAGGATGTAAAGCACATGCTAAGTGCACTATTAACAGCACTCCTTATTCCTAAAAAAGATGTGGCTGAATCTGAAATTCATATCATTCTTTTCCTTCAAGAAATCTAAGAGAGGGTAGCAATCCAAGAATAATCCTAAACATTTCCATTATCAAAAATAGAAAAAAGAAAAAAAAAAGCCAGTGTGTATTAGTAAAAATAGTTTCTCAAAAATTAACACATAGGGCCAGGGATATAGCTCAGTGGCACAAGCACCTGCCTGGCAAGTACAAAGACCTGAGTTTGATTTCCAAATCCACAAACAACACATAATCTCTAGGTAATATTTACATAAGCTTTAAAAGCACTCACTAGGAGTTTTGTTCACATTATGCTGACCATTATCCATAAGCATTGCTTTTATTTTATGTTGGGGGTGTCAGACACGTAGCACAGGCTGACAGGCAACCCTAAGCTGCAAGCTCCCAAGTGCTGGGATTCCCAGGCATATACCTAAAGACTGCTTTTAAACATACCAACTGTAAAACCAAAACAAAATGCATAAGCCCGGTGACAGGCCAACAAGCAGAGTAGGAATAATCAGTGACCAGAGTGTACCTGCTTATCCTCCAGCGGCTCTGGCTCCCCTTTACTGGACCCAGAGCTGCCATCTTCCTCGTCTGAGCTGTTGATGACTTCATCCTCTTCGGAAGGCAGATCATCGAGGCTAAGATCAGGGTCTCTGGGTCCCTCTGAGGCTGGTTCAGAGCTGCTTCAACAGAAAACGAGCAAGAGCACAGTTAGTTACAACAAGTGCACAGGAACCAAGCCATCCTGCACGCCTCGCCTCGAGCCCCAAGCAAAGTGTCTCTGCTTTTGAGGGTGGAGGAGTCAAGGCTGGCGACACTTCCCCTTTGAGTCCCTCTCAAGGCTGGGGACAATCCAAACTCCTTCACCCATAAGACCTAACTCCAATACCACTCTGATGACTGGAAGGCAAGGAAAAGGTGAGTTTCTAGCTGCTCATGCCTGCTGCTGTCTGGTGCTGGCCCAGGTGAGCAAGTCCTCTGGGTGTAGACCAGAGGTCTCCACACACAGCTGGCTCAGCACAGGGGTGGCGGGGGCCCAGGAACATGCGAGAGGCTGCTGCTCCCGCTGAGCCTCGGGGTTCAGAAGCCACACTCACAAAATGCTGGGGACATATCTATGAGGATGCTGATTACAACCAAATGCCAGCTGGGCGTGGAATCCCAGCACTCTGGAGGCTGAGGCAGGAGGACCACCATGAGTTCAAGGCCAGCCTGGAGTACATAGTGAGTGCCTGTCTCAAAAAGAAAGAAAAAGAAAGAAAGAAATCTATACTACCAACTGTCTTTAAAATAAACAACAAGCCAAAACAAAAACCCTCGAAGGCTCCAGGGCCAGCAATCTGCACTGAAGAGTCCTCTGGGGCTGTGCCAGCCTGCCCCAGGGAGGACAATGCTCCCCATGGAGAGAGTCCTAGATCTGGCCCTGCCACTGTCCAGACCTGCAGGGGAAATCCACAGGAAAGTTCCAGGGCCCATGGAAACAATGCTTTCTGTTGCGCATTAAAAGACTCAGGAAAAAGTTGCTTTTGAAAACTGATTTTCTGCTGCCAGACTGCATGGAGGTGGGCAGAAGAGAGAAGGGGCGGTACCAGGTGCACAGCCAACCAGGGAGCAGCCACCAGGCAGACACAGGGCACGCAGGCCGCTGAGCAGGTCACGGTGGGGAAGCCACACCAGGACTCCTGAGAGAGGGCTTCTGCAGGGCTGACAGCTAAAGAGAAACGTTTGGCCAGCTCCTGGCCGCCCCAGGACAGTCACTTGAGAAGCCAGCCCTCATTCCTCAGCTGGGGCCACACAGCCTCAAGAGGGGCAGGGCAGCACAGAGGCGCCTCCTATGGCCGCAGCCTGCTTCCTCTCACTCAGTGCAGTGCTCAGGCGGGCACCACTCATCAAGGTCCTGGGACAGGGAGAGTCACACCCTGGGGTGGGGTAGAGGGAGTTTTGGAGACAGGGTCTCGCTATGCAGTTAAAGTTGCCCCTAAACTTACTACATATCCCAGCTGGCCATAAACTCTTAGTGATAGTAATCCTCCTGCCTCAGCCTCCCCAAGGCTGGGATTACAGGCTGAGCAACCACGCCCATGAAGACAAGAGTAGTCTAGCAAGATTTGCTGTCTCTGGGAGCAGGGATAAAAGCCAACCAGCTGGGTTATTCACAGTTGTCTAGGTTAGCAAGAATGAAGTGAGAGCCAAGGAAAAAAGAAAACAGGCTGAGACAGAGGAGGGCCGGGATATAGCTTGGTGGCACAGTTCCTGCTCCGCAAGTACACGGTTTGCAAGGTTCTGAGTTTGACTGCAGATACCAAAGGAAAAAAAAGAAAAGAAAGAAAGAGCACCAAGGCAGAGCAGACAGACCGGTGAACAGCTTGGCTGGATTTCTGCGGCGCTGAGGTCGAAGCCAGGGCTTCAGGACGGCAGGCAAGCGCTATCGCTGCACACTGACCCGCTCAAAGAGCCGTGAGAGGTCAATCCTTGCAGCAAAGGTCCCCGGAAATAAAGGTGAGACTGCAGCAGGCCCCGCCCCACCTTCAGCTTCCGGGTGGGGCGGGACCCAAGGACTTCCGGTGAGAGGCTGCCTTTCAGGGTTTGAAGTTTTTAATTTATCAGTATTGTTGCTATCATTATTTTTTTGCAGCACTGGGCATTGAACTCAGGGCCTGCACACCTAGTGATGTCGGTAGCCATTTTTTAATTTTTAAATATTGAGACAGGGAGGATCTTCCTAAATTTAAACCCAACCTTGAAATTTCAATCCTCCAGCCTCAACCTCTCACATTTTTTTTTGTCTTCTGCTTTTTTTTTTTTTTTTTGGCAGAGTCCAGTTAAATTGCCCAGGCTGGCTTCAAACCTACAATTCTCCTGACTAGCTAGGATGACAGGGTATGCTGCCAGGTCTGGCTTCTAAAAGAACCTGAAGGCCAGCCAAATAGCTCAGCGAATTAAAGCACCTGCCTAGGCAGACGCAGGGGCCAGGGGTTCGATTCCCAGGTCTGCCGTGCCGGCCCGCGCCGGGAGTAGGCTGAGACAGCGATTGAGACTGGGCGATTGAGACTGGGCGAGGTGGCACACACCTGTAATCGCACAGCACTTGGGAGGCTGTGAACAGGAGGATCACTATGAGTCCAATCTGTGTAGGTAGACCCTGTACTAAATACATTAAGAAATAAAATAAAACAAAATAAAAGAAGGCTGAGCCAAGAAGATCACCAGGACCCACAGGCCAGCCTAGATGGTATAGCCTGTCTTAAAAAAAAAAAAAAAAAAAAACCTAAAAAGCTTTTCCAATCAGGTATCGGGATTGTTCTGCACTCCACAGCACAAGAATTTCTGATAATTAGTAAACATGCTGTGGCATTGTAAGGAAAGAGGGTTTGCTTTGTCTAGAGAACTGAAAGGTGCCTCTTGGTCAAGCATTTGCAAGGCTCTCATTAAAGTTTAATGAGAGAAAATAAAAACACAGTAATCATGCTGGCTGAGCTACAGAGTGTAGCTCCCAGCGCCCCTCAGCACTTCCCACCGCTTCCCAATGGCGCAGGAGGCCCAATCAGGCAGGCTTCAGCTGGGACAAGGATGGGGCCCGATACAAGAGCGAGAAGCACTGCAGGCTCCAGGGCTTCAAGCCCATGTCACCAGCAGGATGAGGGACAGTAACAAAAACAGAAATGGGGGGGCCTGCCCCTTAACTCAGTTCTCTAAGTGGCTGCTTCAACAAAGCAGTCAGGCTCAGGTTGCTGTGGTTCGATCCCCACAACTCAAGCTGACCAAACCTGCCCTGGCTCAGTAGAATAAGTGCTTGCCTGGCAAGCACAAGGGCCTGAGTTCAATCCCTGGTTCCGCCAAAAAAAAAAAAAAAAAAAAAACTGTCCTTCCGATATGATTTGAAACTGTCTCATTGCTGTTTGTCAATAAAACTTTGAGAAAAAAAAAAAAAAAAAAAAAAAAAACCTGAAACAGAAATAGGTTACAAAGGATCTAATTTTAAAACCGCGCCACACCATAGCTGGATGTGGTAGCACACACCTATAATCTTAGCACCTGAACGCTGCAAGCCAAGTTCGAGGACACCTCGGGCTACCACATGAGTTCAAGGCCAGCCTGGACCACATAGCCAGACTTTCTCACAAAAGCAAAATAAAAGAAGACAAAGAGTTCAGTAGTCAGTCAGTAAAGATGGCTTGTAGGATCCATATTTACAGGTTCATTCCTAAAATAGTTAATGAAATTCTTTTCTCACATAATTGTGGATTGCTTCCATGTCAATCGAGGTAATTTTAGAGTCTGACAATGAAACTGGGATCCCTTACACATGCCAGTCAAACTGACTAGTCAGGCCTCCTCTGTTCTCCCCATTTCCTTTCCAGCGCCAGGAAGATAACACCCAGCACTGTCTGCTCGGCGGAAAAAGAACAGGACATCATATTTCCTCCGCATCTTCCTGCCTCAAGAGTTCCTTGGGGAGCCCTCAGCGGAGATACAGGTGGGCCGCAGTGGCAATCACAACACAGACCTGACTCTATTTCCCCAGAATGGCCTTTTGTTTTTTTTTTGAGACTGGGTTTTGCTGTTTTCCAGGCTGGCCTTGAACTCAGGGAGATCCACCTGGCTCAGCCTCTTGAGTCCTATAAACACAGGCATGCCACAGCTCCCCAAGGCAGTCCTAAGTCACAAAGAAGCCTGATTTCTAGGAAACCTAAGAGAACGTGAAACCAGAAGTTGCTTCTTCCAGAGGGGCAACCATACGTAGGTCCACGAGCTAGAATCCCTAGAGGCGGGCGAGAACTGACTGCCCAGTCATGACTTCTTACCGTCACCACTGTTTCCTACACGCTAAATCCTGCACGCACACAGAAGCAGCCACCAAAACTACATCCTGCTATTGCTTCCCATCAGATGTACCACGTCAACTCCTTTTTGACAGAATTATCTTTAGGGGGGCCCGGCCCTAGCTCAGTTCTTTAAGTGGCTACTTCCACAAAGCTGTCAGCCTCAGGTTGCTGTAGTTAGATCCTCCAAAACACTCCAGCCAGCCAAACCTGCCCTGAAGGCATTCGGAGAACAAAAAAAAATCTTTATGGGGCCGGGGAGATGGCTCAGTGGAATAAGCACTTCCTTGGCAAGCACAAGGGCCTGAGTTCAATCCCTGGTTCTGAAAAAAAAAAACCAGAATTATCTTTAGAAAACTATTTAATCCATTCCCTCTAGGACTTTTTAGGAACAGAAAACCTGCAAGGTGCTGAGCCAGGCCTAACAGTTGCCAGGGCTCCTCACAAAAGCACCCTGTGTACCTCCACTAAATTCAAACATTCCAGCAGGGGAAGGGGGCTACAGAGAGCAGACAGGGAAAGGAAGGCGAGGTTTCTGAAGAAAGTTCCAGAGCGCTGTCCTCTCTGCAGCTGATAGTTCCACTGTCTTATTCCTTCCTTGATGTGACTTTACTCTGAGTCTCCTCCAAAGAGTAGAAGCTAGGCACAGAGGCACACACTTGTAATCCCCGCACTGGGGAGGCTGAGGCAGGATTCTGCAAGGTCAAGGTTAGCCTGGGCCACACAGAGAGTTCAAGATCACCTTGGAATACACAGGATGACTGTGAGGCAAAAAAAAAAAAAAAAAAAAAAAAAAAAAACCTCCAAAATGTTGCATGTAATTCCTTCAAAACTTGAAGGAAGAAGCATATTCCAACACC